ATCAAAGTACTCAACAAGAACATTAACCTTTTCTTTTCTCGTAGGAAGGAAGAAACAGGAACTATGTGGCATACTGAATCAAAGCCTGGGTTCAGGGGACTCCAGGTTCTGTGACCACCTGGGAAGTTTGGCTGGGTTGGCATCATGTCATATGATTATTGGAAGTGATCCCCTGGTTTGAAAGAATTGGATTAAGCTCCATTTGAGCAAATTTAATTCCTTTGCCAAGCCTTTGTTTCCAGAAACATATAATTTATAATATTATATCAAATTAATAATGTTTATATGCTGTTTTATAAATAACAAGTAGAAAATAATGATTTTTAAAGGCAGCATTTACTGAGCACTTACTTACTATCTGCCCAGCAATGACCCTGTGAGATACCCATTTTACTGGTGTAGAACTGAAACAAAAAGAAGTAAAATAATTTGTCAAAAACAGTATGTACAAGAAGTAGAGGAGCCCTGTACCCATAAATGATTCAGAACACTTCTATTTTTCAATTTTTTGAAAAATAATTTCAAACATGATGTAGATGTCCCGACTATTTTATGTACAACCCACAAAAACTCAGAAGGACTGGTTGGCCAACCTACAACATGTTGCAAGCTTCTATTTCCCACACATTCAGTAAGTTGAATATTGAAAGGCAAACTTAAGGTCTGATTTGTTGATATTGGAGTAAGCCTATGACAACTGAAAAAGATAGAGTGCTGTAGGCTAAAAACAACACTTTTGAGATGAAAATCATGAGACTGAGTTCCCATTCTCCCCCACAACAATTCTGTATATCTAAACCACCAAGTGAAAAAAATGCTTGCAAATCTAAGCAAGCTACTGATTGAGCAGCGCTGGGGTGGGGATTCACTGGAAAAGGAATTTGCAGTTAAAATAAATCATTTGATCAGCTGATAATTCCAGGAAAGCAAAAGCCCCGAAGACATTATGAAAGGATGGTGTTAGAGACTTCTAGGAATTTCAGAAATAAAAACTGGAAATAACATTTTAACCCCTGGGTCTTCTGAACAAGGATCGAAAGTCATCAATTCCTCATGAAGGTGTACTAAAGAAATGGACTATGATGCCAGGAAAGGAAGATTTTTGAGAGAATCCACAATTTGTTATTTATACTGACCTATAAAATACTAATTTTGTATAACGATATGTTCTCTGTGGCACTGGCACCACAAGACAGACAAGCCCCCATTCTCACCCTCATTACCAAAATAAGAAAATGATTTAAATATTTTATAATATGTTTTCTTACTGGATTTTTCATACAAAGTCTTTATTTTGTAGAAATATGATGCATAATTTATATTTACACACATCCTAATTTGGACGAGCCACATTCAGGAGCTCAGTATCCATTCATTTCCAGTAGCTATAGTACTGGACGGTATAGATTCTAATGGTAGTTGGATTTAAAAAAAAGTCTGTAGTGCAGTAAAGCAGTGCAGACAGGAAGAAAAAATTGGCACTTGTCAATGAATGCTAAACAAGATTGTGAAAATAATCCAGATTGCCAGGACAGTGTACATAGTTTAAGAGAAAAACAGAGCTCATAGAACCCTAAAGAATGCCAGCATTTAAAGGACTAAGAGAGGAGCTAATGAAAGAGACCTATAAGGTGCACACAAAAATCTATTGATAATATCCAATGTTTAAATTGTTTAAAACTTTACTACAATAAAAGATAAATTATCATTAACCCCCTCAAAATATTTCCCCTTACTCAGAGCATACTTCTCCCATCATTTTTGTCCCTTTCTGAAACAGTTCTGAAAGTACCTCTTTCATGAGTATCTTCAGTTGTGCTGCTGTGGCTTGAATTGAGTCTTGAATTGACTCAAAATGTTTACCTTTCACGGTCACTTTGACTTTGGAGAAGAGCCAGAAGTTTCCATGGTGCCAGCACTAGTGAATACGATGAATGAGGACACCATAATATTCTTATGATCCTGCCTTTACTTTGGATGACAGTAGTACCATTCCCATACTTTAATCACGTCTCATGAAGAGAGGACTTCCGGAACTGTGAAAGTGGCAAAATGATGGGATAGGTGTGCTATAAACTGGGGGAACTATTTTGAGGGGGATTGTTGACAATGTATCTTTTATTGTAATACATTTTTAAAATTTAAATAGTCGCTGCGTATTTTGATCATTCCTTGTGTTCCTATACAAAAGAAGTCATTCATTCAGATTTGGGGATTCATAAATGCAGGGATTCTAGGAGGCAAGTCAGTATTAGAGGAGTCTAGGGTTGCTTTTCTAAAAGGAGGCCCTGACTATACATCATCACCTTTGCCTCTTTCAGAAGACTGAGGTTCATGGGAGTTTAGTAGAAATTGCAGCTGTGAAAGAAGCATTGTTTAGAATAGTGTGGCTCTTGCAGAAAGCATGTTTTAGAACTGATAAGAGATAACAACATAAGCAGCACTCATGTCGTCATTTTAACAAAACAAACTTGACGGCCATATAGATGGTGGCAGTTTATCCTTCACTCAAAATTAAATATTATGGCCACTTTCAAATATGTATGTGCTTCTGTCAACCCAGTTGGTAGAACTGAGGCATGAAAACCACGTATATGGGCATTTGTCAGATATAAATAAGGAAGTGAGGGACAGGAAGAGAACAACACTATTGTCAAAGTGGTCCAGAGGAGGTCGAACAAGGCAGAAATCACACTTAAATCACTTGGATTTTAGCACACAGGGAAAGAGGGTACTTTTGTTTCTGTAGCTATATAAAAGCCTCACTACCTGCCCTCTGGGACCTCTTGTTGACAGGGGGGTAACAGTTGAAAGTGAGGTTAGCAGGGCACTTATGGCGTATTGGATCTCCATCAACATGCAACCCCAAAAGATCATAATGTAGAGATTTGTAAATCAACTCTTAGGGTGCTTGCCCCAAGGCAAATAACACAACAAATTAATCCTTTCTTCATGAAATGCAGTAAAGTTTGTATCTACACTGAATTCAAATTGCTCATTAGCTCTGACGTGTTCCTAATGAGGTTATAATGCTTTGGGACAAAGATCAAGCCATTGAGCACAAATAGCTAAGGATAGAATCATAGAATAAAATTAGAAGGACCTCAGAACAATGCCACTCCAACTTTAGTACGAATCACCTGGATGTTCTGACTTAGGATGTCTGAGGTACATTTAGTCACTAAATTTCTCAGGAGCTCCTTGGCCATGCGGAGGCTGTCATCCATGGACTACCCTATGAATGCCAAGGCCTCAAAGCTCATTTAACCCAATGGCCTTATCCTACAGGTAGAAACACAAGGTCTAAGAGACATAATTAGAAGAATACTGAGGCTTTCCCAAGGCTAAGTTGAGACAGTTGCACGTTTGTCCATAGACTTTTAAATAGACATATTGAAACTAGGGTGGCTAATTATCTTAATCTTTTATGGTCCTAAAGAGGTTTCTGGGTCATAGAATTTTCCACTTTATAACTGGGAATGTCAAGAAAAGCCAAGGTGAATTTCTTCAGCCTACAAGGAATTCTTTGAATCTATTTAGAAGATAGCATCAGGACTATAGTCTTCCTGATCTTATCAGTCTCTGAGTGTTGAGATCATGACCTGCTGCTAAGGCAGCCATCTACATAACCTTCTTTGAAGAGCTCAAGGAGCAGACGCCCAGAGAAGACTGAGATTCTGCAAAGCTTTCTGCCACCGCCCTGACTAGGGCTTATCCAGGAGACAGCCTAAGAAATTCTCAAAGGCATAGAATAAGAGTATCAAAAATGCATAGGAATAGGAATCATACAAGCATGTAATACTCTTTTTCACTGCACTTATCTTTTCAATTTTCCTCACTGAAGAAAATACATGTAAGAAATAAATCACTAGCTTTTATAAGTCTCATTCAAATTACCTTTGTTAAAGGCACTACACTGACATTAAAATATCTGGCTATCCCCCTGAAAATTAAAAAAAAATCATGCTCTGCACAACCAAAGTTAGAAATGAAAGTATATCCCTCCATTATTGCTATTTTATTCACTAGAATCAAGACCATTAATATTAGACAGAATAATAAACAATTCAGAATAATAAACAATTCATAAAGGAAAAGTGAAAAAATGTTTGGACTATTCAATCCTAGCAGTATATTATTGAACCTTCTAACCGAATAATAATTCCACATGCATTCAAAATGTGGAGTTAGTGGAATCCTGACCACAAGAGTCTCCTTCTCTGTAGTTTACTGGTTCGAATGAGATGCCAACATGGTCTGATTGAATTAGTGACTTAATATTCATGGAGTTAGGACACTTAAAACGAAGGAAGGAAATAAGTGTGGCTAAATATATACAATGCATTTGAAATAGGTAAAAGAGAGACCCCTAGACACTCAGCAATCATTACCTGGAAATTAAAGGGGGCAGAAGCAATCCTATTATGCATTATAAACAGCCCAGCTGCTGACTTAATGGAAGTTTGAGTAGCATAGCCACAGAGTCCTTGCTCCAATATTAATAGGAAAGGTATTGTACGAATCCAATAGTTCATGAAATTAACAAGGAAAATGAACTGGAGTGAAGAAACTTTGCAAGTAATAGAAGGCACTAGCAATTGCTTCCCTGGAGCATACTGAACATTTAAAAAGAGCTTGAGGAGAGGCTATGTATATAAATGTGAAGGGACATTATTGGAATTTTTAATAATACTTTTAAGTATATTTCAAATTTTCTGTTGGTTGTAAATATTTTAAAGAAAAAGCTTATAGGTCAAAATGTCAAGAAGAGGTCATGGGCTATAAGAGATCTGGTCCAATGACACTGACAGCTGCCCTTTGAATCAGCCCCAAATTACCATAAACCTATGACTTCCTAGTGGTCAGCTATCCCTATGTCATTTTTATGGAACTAAATACTTCAATTATCAGAAAACAATCTCCCCATTACCAGCCTCAATAGTCTGAATGATGTACACATGCTCATTGGGAAGCTAAAATATCTAGTTAATCCCACTTACAAAGCAACAGACATTCGATGAAAGAGAACACCTTCCCCACAGACACTGCCAGAGACAATCTGACTATAGCTTGCGTTGACCGAACAAGAAGCTGAAAGGATTTCCATAGAAGCAAGAATGTGACTTCTATTTTTCCCAGACAGAGATCCATCCAAGTCTTCTAAAATTGCTGCATGAGGAAATGGAAATGCTACTAAATTTGGAGAATTTGTAAACTTCAAATGGTTGGTCTTCACAGTAAATCCACCTGTAAAGTAGAAAAAAGAAAGACAGTTACACAAGGAGGCAGAACAACAATCATAAAGGCAAATTAAATTAACTGAAGTCCTTTCAAGTACTTTAACTTGCAAATTTTATAATTTGGTATTATAATTCACTATTTATTCATATAAGAAAAATTTACCATGAGTGCTCTCTGAAAGCCAAGCTATAGATGCCAGAGATTCTGGGTGATGTAAGAACAGCACAGGCCCAGACTTCATGTGGTCTATCCTCCAAGGCAGTGATTTCAACCAGAGGTGGTTTTGCCTTTCAAGATTTGGCACTATCTGGAATTACTTCTAGTTGTCAGAGAGTGTCTGGCTATTGGCAATGTTACTGTCAACTAGCGGGTAGAGCCCAGGAACCCTGCTAAATTTCCTACAATATTACCAACCTTCAATCAATAATTTATGTAAATAGTAATAGTAACCCCTTTCTAAGTATTAGCTCTAGTGTTACATTTCTTAATACTTTCTCTAACACCACTACCACATGATCTTTTGGTACTTCCAGTTTTGTTTTGTTTTGTTTGAAAGTTATTTTTTAAGGTAACTGTTCAAAGTATAAACTCATAGGTATAGGTTATTATTGATGGGGTTAGACTCACCATTGATAAGCAGAAGATAAAATATGGAAAGACTAGAGTACAGCACCCATTCTGTTTATTATTAGTAAATGAGTGCTTTCTATCTAAATTTTGCATGAGACCATAAATTCTCACACTTGGTACTATTGTTATTTTGGTTCAGGTGGGTTTTTTGTACTTTAGACAACCCCGGTGATTGTAGGAAGTTTAACAGCACCATGGGATCTACCTGCTAGTTGACAATGGTATATGTAGGGATTTAAGTCTTGCATGACAGACTCCAAATTCCACTTCTTGCAAGTTGTACAGCTCATCTAACAGCCACAACTACATGTGGCTCTCAGTCATGCTGGAAATTTTTGTGATTTTCCCCAGGTACAACTTGCTCTTTAGAATCTCTGTTTCTGGTAAAAGCTATTTCTCATGTGGTTAAATTCTGCCCCATGTCTTTCCCCTTGCAAACTTTTACTCTCAAATCTCTGCCCAAGAGGCACCTTTATGAAATCTGACCTTCTCCCTCCGTGGTCCTTTTACTGACCATGTGCTGTTCTCTAGTACTGTACTTATCCTCTCTAGTTCAGCGACGGGCTTAGACATTTATTTTATACTTAAGACAGGAACTGGGTATCTTCATCTTTGTACTTTCTGTCCCGTAAGTAGAGCCTAGAATAGTTTTTGAGCAAGTGAAGGGATGGTTTGGCTAAGGTGATCCAGTAAGAATGGATTAGCACTCACAATGAACAATTTGGGGTTTTTTCAGTGTTTTATGAATGATATGAAACAGTGAGCTATTAAAGAATTGAAGAAATATTATCTGCCTTGACCCATTTTTATTCCTATTATTATTTTTACAATCTTAAACGCAAATGTCCCCCAAATGAAAACATTCTTTGGCTCTGCCTACTTGGGGGAAAAAAGGAGAGTAGAAAATTGCTGATTATTCATTTAATTAAAAAAACATACAATTATCTAAATTAGTGATTCAAATCACAAGAGCATATTTACTTGAATTACTTGGTTTGGCTGCTTAGAATGATCAGATCAACTAGATTGCTCTCTGCCTTTTTTTATCTTGGCCTGTGAGTCCTCTGAGGCATTGCTCACCACCTCTGAGATGTGTTCAACAAGTACACAAGAATTCCTATGGTTCTCTTTGTGCATGTATCAAACCCTAAACAGATGAAAACAGTAAATACTGGAACTCCGGCTCCTTCAGAAGAGATTTATTCAGGTTAATTTGTGTCCATGTGTCCATCCATTCAACTCCATTTATTCATTCTATCAGCGAATTGCCTACTAGGCCCTAGGTTCTCTGCTATATCCAAGTAATAAAATACTGATCAAGGGAGATGTGAGCTCTGCTATTATGAAGCTCAGAGTTCAGCAAGACAGAGCAGCACAATGATAGAATGTGACGGGCACCAGGACGGGCAGAGGACAAGAACTGCAGAAACCACGCTGACAGTACTTGCTTCCTCTAGGATTTGTTTAGGAAATCAGAACAATAGCTCCTTAGATATAACCTTGTAATTGAAAGAAATGTTGGCTCACGAAGACTCTATCATATTCACTCGAGTACTGGCCTTATTTACCATCTGTCCCGTCTATTCAAACTTACCCTGTCCTTGGGAACAGCCTGAACAGGTTCTGATGGCCACACAGTTGATGAGATCAAAATTAACAAAAGTTGTGTTAGAAATCATCAATTCCCATCTTTTGGGAGTCTTAATCCCAGCTGACATACATAATCTTTCCTGTAACTTTAAAAAAAGAATAAAACGTAATAAGAGCTAGCCGCTTGAAATATAGTTGATAATGTACAAATAAAAATAAAAGAAAAAAAAAAGCTACAGACTAAACCTATGTGTGACAAAATCCAGAACATGAAAAAAATCTACAAGTCTTTGTAGAAAAAAAAAGACAATTCAACTTTATAAAAAGAAATTTGAAGGTGCATCCCATGATGTCAAGTGAACACATGAAAAAATGTCTAACATGATATACATTAGGGAACTGCATGTTAATAACACAATGAGTTAATACTGTACACATATGTAGAGGTTAAATAAAAATAATGTTGACAGAAAATGCTAATGAAGAGGAACAACGAATATTCATAGAATACAAAATGTGACTATCACCATGGAAAATAGTTTGTCAGTTTCTCACAAAGTTCTCTACAGTCTTCAAACCAGCAGTGTAACCCTCAGGTATTTATCATAGAAAGACGAAACCATACATTCATTTTTTAAAAAAATCATACAGGAATGGTTATAACAATTGCATTTGCTATCACCAGATCTGAAGAATACCTCAAATACTCTTTAACAAATGAATGCGTGAACATTACTTCTATATAGTAGACCACTACTCAGAAATAGGAATAAAGTACATGTGGGCAACAAGTTGGATGAATTTCCAAACACATCAGAATAAAAAACATTGTTCCCATACCATACTATACCATACCATACCATACCATACCATACCATACCATACCGTTCCGGTTATGTAACTGCTGAAAAGTTGAAAAGCTATGGTGACAAGAGAGTGGATTAGCGATTGCCCAGAGTTAGAAGTGAGCAGAGGAGGCAGCCACAAGCTAGAGCTCAAGGGAGTTGGGGCTGATGCAATTTTTTTTTCTTTTTTTACTTTCAGTAGTACATATTTGAATCACATAATTATTACATTCACTGTAGATACAGGTATATAACACTTCTCAATTCTTTTTTCGCTTTCCTTCCACTCACCTTTTCATTTTTCCAGCACCAGATTCATTTATTTATCTTATAAGACCTTATAAAATTAATTATATAAATACAGGTTGAAAATCAGACTGATGGGACAAAGAACATGTAAAACATGTAAGACAATTGTGGTAAGTCAAAGTACACTTTTAGTTGTACTATCCATACTGAATTTATCCTCTCTCTCTCTCTCTCTCTCTCTCTCTCTCCCTCTCTTTCTCCCAGTTATCTAGCTTCTATTTCATATCATATGTATTTGTAGTTTTTCATAGAAGAGAAACCATAATGCTAAGTGAAGTACCTCAGACTTTTATATTTTTTCATGTATTTATTGGCCATTTGTACTTCATCATCTAAGAAGTATCTATTCATTTCAGATGACTGTTTCTAAACTCAGTCTTTAACGTTGGGAAGTCTAATTTTTTTGAGTTGTTTATATATTCCAGATATCAGTCCTTTGTCTACTAAGGAGTAGCTGGCAAATTGTTTTCCACTCTGTAGGTTACCTATTTACTCTATTTATAGTTTCCTTTGCTATGCAGAAGACTTTTAATTTGATGTGATCCCATTTGTTGACCCTTGGTATTATTTCTTGTGCAACTAGGGTTTTGTTCAGCAAGCCTTTGTTTATAGCTATGTATTCAGGAGCTTTACCCTATTTTTTCATCCAGCATTTTAGGCATTTCTGCTCTAATTGTTCTGTACTGTGATACTGGTGGTGGCAGAGGTGGTTACACAAACTTACACATGTTAAATTTTCAAAAGTGGAACATTGGAAAAGCCACTTTCTCTATAGCTAATACAGAAAAAAAAACTAATTTTAATTATATACCTGAAATTAAAATTATTTTTTAATACTTTCCACAAAAATCTCAACAAACCCCATTAATTTAAGCTGTGTTTCACTTTCTCATTGTTAAAAGTAGTTGCTTACTTGAGGATCACTTTGAGTTTTTCCAAAAACCTCCAACATGAAAAATAATAAAAAAAAAACAAAGTTAATTTAGAAATCAGAGGAAAACTTAAACATTAGGGTGTTCAGAGAAATGAGTACATAATATCCATTGAACAAAAAACGTCTAAAAATAATTTTAAAAGAGAAAAATATAAGCCAGGGATTTAGCTTAGTGACACTGTACCTGTCTTGCAAGCACAAGGTCCAGAGTTTGATCCCTGGTACTCCCCCCCAAAAAAATGCAATAGAAAAATTAAGGAAATGTCCTAGAATGTAGAAAAAAATAAAGAGATGGAAAATCAGAGTTAGAAAAATTAGGAAGGCAATCCAAGAGGTCCAATATCCAAATAGCAATATTTTAAATTAAAAAGAGGAAAATACAGAGGAGACAACTTTTGAAGAAATAATGGAACAAAATTTCCCAGAAGGAAAAGAGAAAATTTTTCAGACTGAAAAGTCCCATCTAATACCTAACAGAGAGGTTAGCCCAAAGAGCCACACCAAGGTGTATGATATTGAAATTTCAAAACACCAGAGACAAGGACAAGGTTAAAAAGTTCTCAGAGAGGATAAAATTAAATTACATGTAAAATACCCAAAATCAAAGTATCTTAGAACTATTCATCCTCAAGACTAGAAGCTAGAGAACAACAGAATGTCACTTCCAAATTTTAAGGCAAACTTAACTCCAACTTAGTATTCTGTAACTGACAGCCTACCCGTAAGGGGGTTCCCACTTGTAGCTCAAAATATTTACCTTCCAAAGATTTGCTTTTTTTCCAAAGAGTTATTATGGGCCATGCTCTAAAAAATGAGAAATTAAACCAGAAGAAAGGAAGACATGAGAATCAGGAACAGAGGTTTTAATAGTAGAAGGAATGAGAGAAAGCTCCATCATGTTGGAGAAGAGAGGTTCCAGGACAATCCACTATACAGTCTGCTCCTAATCTGCTGTGCAAATGCAAACCCTCTGAATTGTTGCTTCCAGTATACACTAAAGATGAAGAGAATACATAACCACCAATTTTACAACTGTGCCTATTTCAATAGAAATAAACACCAAGAGACATACAGTAGAATATTTATAAAAGACAGCCATCAAATGCCCCCAATAGTAACACAGCTATAAAAATTAGGGGTACAGTCATAAAATTAAATACATTTAATTATTGTAATTATACATTGCTGCAACACCCAAAGATATGGGTGAATCTCATGGACTTAATATCATGCCAAAGAAGCCAGATAAAATAGAGTGACATGTTCTATGATTCTACTTGTATGAAATTCAAAGAATTAAAAGGGATTCTGTGTGGATAAAAGTCTTAATAAAGCTTTCTCTTTGGCTGGGGATTTGGTGGCAGGACTGGGAAGAGTCAAGGACACAAAGGGTGTCCAAAGAACTGATAATGTTCTATGTATTCAGCTGGGTGATATTATAATTTATATCTAAAATGTTCCCCCAAAAGCTCAGGCATTCAGACCTGGCATATATAAAAAGTAAGTGGATCATGGGGTCACAGCTGAATGTGCTCTTAGAGGTGGGTCCTGGTTGGAGGTGGATTACTGGGGGTGTAACCTTAAAAGGTGTGTTCTGGGCCTCCTCTCTGCTTTCTGACTGCCATATATTGAGCACTTTTTCTCCTCCCTGCCCTTTTGCGATGCCATTTCTGCTTGGAGCAACTGAACAAAAATAAACCTCTCTTCCTGTAAGTTGTAGGTGTCTGGTATTTTGTTCCAGCAATGGAAAAGTGACTAGTACAGAAAGTTAAAGTGAATCTATCAATAGAAATCTAAATAATGCTTCTCCTTTGGTTGGGGACTTGAGGGTAGAGCTGAGAATTGGAAGGGATGAGGGGCCTTTCCAGGAACTGGTAACATTCTACTCTTGATCTGAATGGTATACATATGGTTGGTCTGCTTCATAAAAATACATAGAGCTCTTCCCTTGTGACTTGTGTGCTTCCTCCATAAATGTTGTATTTTCATAAAATGTTTACTTTAAAAATTAGAACAAATACTACAGCAAAGCGAATAGAAGATGAAAGGGTAGAGAATGAATTAAAGCAGAGGAAAGTATTTGAATTGTTCAGGTAAAGTTCAATGGTGCTAGAGCAATTTAGGCTCCATTAAGACAAGCAAGATTGTTAAAAATTTAGGGGCGATAACTAAAATAATCATAGAAGAATGAATAACTTTTGAATGAGAAGCTATAAAAAAGATACAATGCAATTCAAGACAAACCAACTCAGGAAAATGCAAAAGGAGAAACAAAGAAAATGAGTTGCAAATACAAACCACAAAATAAGATGGTAGAAAAAATTGCCAACATTATGAGAGACATCAGCATGTGGATAGTAATTGAAACTATAAGAGAAAATGAGATTTCTTCCAGGGAGAGCAAGTATATTGAGAAGAGAAGAAGCCCTACAACAGGATTTAGAGGAATAAAAGGTAAAAGTTCTAAGTGGAAAAAGACAAATATACAGGTGAAAGTGAAAAGCAACCCTTAGAGAAAAAGGAGTAAAAAAAGAAGCAGCCCTATCAGCACCTGTCTGAATAAGATATTTTTAAAGTAACATCATCTGCTCAAATTAATTATAACAGCAACAGAGGCACAGTCATCCTACAGATACTTCAAAAGTAAAATGACCATAATTTAAATCCAAATCAGTATATTCACAAGTATGAAAAGGAGATGCCAATTAGAATGCTGGGGCTCAAGGTCTAAACAAATTGCCAAACCAAAGAGGTATAGTAGTGCTACCATATATTTCTGTTTCATATTAAAATTAGTCCATCCATTTTGACATAGAGGTGATATTATTAGGTGTGAAGATATGAATGCGTACATAAGTATGTTTAAAGGAAATGAATACCTTCTAATGCATACCCATGTTAATAGCAAAACAATTTATAATAGCTAAATCTTGGATGTAACTTGTATGTCCATCGATAGATGAATGGATAAATAAAATGTGGTTTTTATTCACAATTGAGTACTACTCTGCCATAAAGATAAACTTGAATCATATGTAAGAAAATGGATGCAGTTTGGGTGGATGTTAAATGAAATAAATCAAACAAGCTTACATATCACATGGTTTCCCTTATATGAGAAATGCAAGTTGTATATAAACCCAAAATAGAAGATAAATAGTAAGAGGTAGGGAAATAGATGTTTCTCAGATGAGAAGGGGATCAAACAATGGAGTGAGGGGGAAGAGAAGAGAGGGGTAGGGGATGAAAAAAGGAATTGAGGTGTGTTATGTACATGCACCAACTCTACATAAGTAATGTAAACATTATGTATTGCAACAATCCCTTCTAAGGCTAAAATCTTCTTCCTGGAGTTGTGTCTTTTTGAGGATACGACTACCTAAATAATTTTATGCTACAAATGTGTGTGGGAGGGCTATAGATGGAAAGGCAAAATCCATTGAAAAAAATCTCAATTTCCAAAAGAATATCAGGCACAAAATACAGAGGCTAAAATCATAGCTCCAAAGCCACAGAGCGGTCCAGCATACTCCTTTTTTTTTGTACATGCAAATTAATGTTGCATGTATCATAGTTGATGTTTGATATATATACGTCATAATTAATGGGAAGTGTCATCAATTAAGATCTAAATTATGACCAGGGATCCTTATCTTGAGACAATTAAAAACAATCATACCCCCAGGATGCGGTTCACTAGGAATGTCGTACAGCTGAATGTAGTGCACCTTTAAACTCTTAGCAAGTCAGTGCAGGACAAGAGTCTCCTGATAGAATACGTCAAATATGTCCTTGTGCTTACAAGGACCAGAGTTCAATCTCCAGTACCAAAACAAAAAAAAATGATAATAATGGATATTATTTGTGCTTGTTTTGTTCCTAGGATTTCTAAGAGCCTTTAAAATGCTTTTCTATTTTTAAAAATTTCATTGTGTATATTTGAAGTTTACAAGAAATACATGTAAATAGAATAGTTGTAGTGATACAAATTAAACTATCACCTCAAATTATTATTTTGTGACAAGAGCACCTAGCATGCACTTATTTAACAAAAATCACTAGTAAGATAAGATCTTATTAACTATAGTTCTCATGCACATAGATTTCTAGACTTGTTTCACAATTCAAAGAACAGAAACACTATGGTAAACATCATAGCATAAGTGTAATTAACCAAATAATCCCATTTTCCTAGAAACTCTTGAGTCTAGCTGTAGCCTTCCATGGAAAAGATTTCAGAGAATATTGTGCAGGCACTAATCAATGTCTTCTGCAAAGCCATTTTCCACATGGAATGAGGAGTACTTGATCAGAAGGTGGTGATGTCAGAGTGATTGCAGACTTACCAGATGATATCCTTTACTTGTAAATTCAGTTCTAACTAAATTGCTAAATTTTAGGCAACATTTAGCTCTGAAATTGCATAATTTTATGATTTAGAGAACTAACTAATATCTACCCTTCTCTAGAACAAGGTTATTTGACATATTCTATCAGGAGACTCTTGTCCTGCACTTACTTGCTAAGAGTTTAAAGGTGCACTACATTCAGCTGTACGACATTCCTAGTGAACCGCATCCTGGGGGTATGATTGTTTTTAATTGTCTCAAGATAAGGATCCCTGGTCATAATTTAGATCTTAATTGATGACACTTCCCATTAATTATGACGTATATATATCAAACATCAACTATGATACTGCAACATTAATTTAAAAGGACAGTTAGTTCCTCAGTTTGATGGACATTTTTCTTTCAGCATCTACTCTGTTATTTCTGAGAAATCTAAGCCTTAGACATACCAGCATTACAGAATGTAAATCTAAGTGCCATCTGCTCATAAAAACTGTGCAATCTTAAAAGAAGAATCATGTCTAAAGGGGTAATCCTTTCAGAGAAAAAGAATTGCCAAGTATTTACCTCCTCAAAAGGATAACTAAAAAGAGATCCAAGAAAAATTGAGAACCAAATATAAAAACATAGAGCTAAATATGAAGTCTTTTCAAAAATGTTAATATTTTCATCTACAACTGTTAAATAACCTCCAATGGAAGTACAAGGGTCAATAATTATTAAATTTCAATTGGAATAAACTGATGAGAGTATTCTTTCCATGAATCTGCAGGTCACTTCCATCCATAATTTTTATAACAACATGATCATTAATATACATGTTACTCTTATTTCTTTTAGGTATTTGGGATCACACACAGGGCCATGACAATGGTAGTCAAGTGCACTACCACTGAGCCACATCCCACCCCTTCACACTATTCTTTTAGAAATAAGAACATGGGAAATTCATTTTCCTACAGACCACTCAAATGTAAGCTTCTTCACGGCTGATTAGTACTCTATTGTGTAAATGCACCACATATCTCTGTATCCCTTAACCTGCTAATAGACACATTGGCCACTTGCAATATTTAGCTTTGATGCCATGATGTTAAATGAAATAAATCATACACGTAAGCATAAATATTGCATAGTTTATCTTATCTGAGAAAACTAAAGTATAAATAATTTCAAGAGCAAAATAATGGATGGATAATAGGAATCAGGAAGATCTTTTACAAATGGAAAGAGAATCTAGAGATGGAGGAAGGGAGAAAGGAGATGAAGTGAAGGGAAAGTAAATCGAATTAAGAAGTGCTGTGTTCAAGTACCAACTCCCTACAATGAATGTAATCATTATGTGTTGCAAACATGTTCTAACAAACAATAATAAAAAGAGCATATGATGTCTAAAGGCCTGAAGCACAGGAAGCCCGTGGTAGTTATGGACTCCCTTAAGGATGACTAGTAGCACTTACTGAAAAAGTATTCTTTGCTTCTGTATTCTGGTCCCTTGACCATGCAATAGTGGAAAAGTTACCTATAGTCCTGTTTTTATCATGAATAAACCCACAATTATTCAAGTACTAAAGAATAACTTACAAGATCTCACTGTACTAGAACAAGCCATGCAAACTTATATTACTGGATTCAATCTATTTTAGAGGGAGCCCTAAATGAAGCAAGGACCCTATTAACAAAATATTGATGAAGGAACTTGGCAAACCACAGAGCAGAGAGATATTATACAATCATGCTCTTCTATAATCCTTTTGAGTTTAGAGAAATTGAGTTAAATTATTAGGTTTAATAAATATTGAATTTACTTATATAAATCGAAATTGCAAATAAGAATTCTTCAACTATTCATGACTGTTACAATTTATATGGACTCATAAGCACTGAAACCCCAGATGTATTTTAGTCTTATTATAAATATCATCACTGTTACAAATAAAAAACTCCTTTAGCTTTTACCAATACAAGACTCACTAAAAAAAGTTATTAAAATTACATATCCTGAATCCTCAGGGATCCCAGTAGTCATGATTCTGTGTTGATGAATAGCTTAAAACAACCACACCAAGGCACTTACCTTGTGGGTAAAATGACCAAGTAATAAGCTGTCAGAAACTGAAGTATTTGCATCACTTTCCGTAATGTCAATTCCAAAATCTCTGCAAGAATAAACTTGGAAATTTTTCAAGTGAAGATTTCTACTTCTGAAAATCTGTAAAATAATAGCATATGTTATGGAAAGGTCTGAGGCTTACTTTTCTTGCAGACTTCCTGAAACTTCTTTAATTATTGATCATGAGTAAATAAAATATGCTATGCTATATTTAAAACGCTTTTGTCCGTCAGTATCAGTGCACGCATCCCAAGGTTGCTATGAGGTCAGTACTAACTAGTCCCCTTTGGTTAAACCCCTCTGTACTTTACATTTCTCCTTACCATAAACAATACATTAAAAGGTCAATGTGAACACTATGTATATTTAAAATAGTCTTACAGGGGTGAAATCACAAAATTAATGTAGAAAAGCACAAAGCATCAAGAATTCCAGTGCTTAGCATTAGTTCAACATAGTTATATATTAACTCTCACAGTCAAAAAACTGCAAATGTAAAGTAAGTAATTCATCGTGACTACAGACACACTGTGTATGGACTCAACACATGTTTTCTGCATATTTACTTATGACACCTGGCATGAGTGCGCCCAAATGGAGATCAAATAGTTACAACATTAGCATGATAGTGTTGAAAGAATCCCACTGTTCCGAGAAACACGGCCTTGGTTTTTACCTAGCCCTGATATTTACAGTGCAATCTTTGGCAACACATTTTACTTCTCCTTGGCTTTGGTTCAACTACTCTTAAAAATCAGGGTGGAGGTCAGGACTAGAAATTAATACAGTCAACTCTTTATTCATTAAATACCCTAATTGGAAGTCTCCTATTAATTAAGCCAAAGTACCCTGATTTACCATTCCATCATATTTTTTTGTGTTAACCAATCTTTTTCTCATGGATCTTGAGCATTAAGCTTTTTACAAAATTATAGTTCTTTGAATACATAGATTTATCTGAAAATAGATGTGATCTCTACTGACAGCTTGGCAACTGTTACTTAATTACAGACATGCAAAATATACCCATTTGCAAATATATTCAAAAGACAGCTAGCACCCAGCATTGGCAAGGGAACTTGAGAATTTTAAAAGGAAACCAACATACAAATTGCAAAATGCATTTATTTTTCACACAGAATTCACAGTCTGCTCTCATCTTTTCTTCTTCTAGAATTCCTCTGTATTTATGAAACTTAGTGAAAAGTAGTATTTTTCTCAACTCTTGTTAAAATAGAAATTGAAGATCCCTTTCACTTGGTTAGAATCCAAAAGTTTGTACTTGTGAGACTCTGGAAGGATTTTATCCCCTGATAGTTTTATGTACAAAAGGAGTAAAAATAACGGTATACCTCCCCCAAAAGTTTAGGTAACTAAGTGAGAACATGTTCAAAACTACAGATACAAAGTAATGTTGAATATCACTAATCCTCACAGAAGGGCAAATTAAAATCACAGTGAGATATCACATCAGACCTGTCAAAATGGCTATAATCAGAAGAGAAAGAAAAGTTGTGATATACACTCTTTGTTGGAAAGTAAAGTAACATGGTCATTGTTGAAAATAATAGGAACTTTATTCAAAGAATTAAAAACAGAACTACTATATAATCTAGCAGTCATACTATTAAGTATATATCCAAAGTAAATAAAGGGAGTATGTCAAGGAAATGTTTGTACTACCATGTTCACTGTATTATTCACAATAGCCAAGAAGTGTGATCAACTTAAATTGACCAACTTGATGAATGGATAAAGAAAAAGTAATTATCTATAGATACAGATATCTCTATATCTATACTTATATCTATATCCATATCTGTGTGTGTGTGTGTGTGTGTGTGTGTGTGTGTGTGTGTGCATGCGCTTTCAGGGTAGGATGTTAGGTAGAGAAAGACTACACAATATATATATATGCTACTACTCAACATTAAAAAAAGGAAGGAAATCCTGCCATTTGTGACCATGTGGACAAACTTGAGGGACATTATTTAAAATGGAATCAGACATACAGAAAAATCCACACACTCTCACTTATACATGGAATCTTAAAAAGTCAAACTCAAAAACAAAAGAGTAGTTACCAAGGGTTGAGATTTGAAAGGGGAATAGCAGAGATTGGAGAGATGTTGGTTAAAATTTGTTAGATATAAGGAGTATTTTCAAGAGAGGGATTATACAGCAGAGTAACCATAGTTAATTAACAATGTATTATATTTCTGAAAATTACTGAGAGTAGACTTTAAGTGTCTTTCTTATCACAATAAAAAGGTATATGAAGTAATGCCTATGTTAATTGACCCAGTTGACCATTTTTTAATGTGCATATGTCTCCAAACATGATGCAGAACAAGAGAATTATATACAATTTTTGTCAATTAAACAGGTGTTATGTGTAAAATTAAATTAATCCAATGAGAAAAGTAAAAATTTTACCTACTGAAATATTATATTTAAGCATCTGTATATATAACAACCATGTCTAAATAACCAGAAATAATTACAGTTTGCAAAATTAAAACAAACTACTTTCTGTGATGCAAAAGGCACTTTTGGGTATTAAAATTTCCAAAGATGTCATTATCAACATCAGTCCACCACTCCCAATCGTTTTTACTAAAAGCAATAATAAATAATAGCTAATGATGTTACTGAGTATTCATGAAGATCTTGGCACTTTTTATTCAGAGATTTAATTTTTTTCTTTCTTTTTTTTTTTTGGTACCAGGGATCAAACAGGTCTTCGTGCTTGTGAGGCAGGTGATACAACCACTGAGCTAAATCCCTGGCCCCAAAATAGTATTTTTAATTAACACATAAAACTGTACATATACTTGGGGTGCATTGAATGTATAATATTCAAGTCAGGGTGGGTCAGAATATCTCCTTAAACATTCATTATTATTTTGGGGAGAAATATTTAACATTCTTTCTTCTGTTTTGAAATATACAGTACATCATCATTATTTATAATGATCCTACAGCAAAACTGAATTCCAGAACTTGTTTCTCCCATCTAACTGTAATTTAACATTCAGAGACTCATCTAACTCTCAAACACATTGATCCTTTAGGTACTACTGCTATCTCCATTTTACAAATGAAGCAGGAAAAGGTAGGAGTTTTTCTCAAAGTCACTCAGACAGGAATTGGGACTATTTGAGAATTTGTGCAGCTGTAAATACAGGAAGTTACTTTTTATAAACAGTTTATTATTTTATTTCATTTTATTATTTTTATTTATATATCTACTTAAATTTATAATTCAATATTTCTACTATATTTAGAGATATGTGCAAACAACACTACAGTGTTAGAATGTTTTCATCAATTTAAAAAGGAAGCTTTTAGCTAACACTTCTCACTCGCTTCCCACCACTACTGCTCATCCTCCAGCCCTAAGCAACCACTAATCTTCCAGCTGTGTAAATCTTCCACTTTGGGACTTTTAGTTGAGTAAATCATTTGGTTTGTACAGTTCCGATTGGTTTCATTCTCTCAGTGTAATGCTCTCAAGGTTCACCCAAGTTACAGCATGTGTAAGTACTTCACTTCTTCTGAGTGAGTAATTTTCCACCGATTTGTCTATCCATGAACATTTCGGTTGTTCCTACTTTTTGGAATAAGGACAGTACTCTAAACATTTGTGTACTAGCTTCTGTTTGGGCATATTACCTTTTTATTCCCCATGGATTATATTATTATAGGTGGAATTGACAGTTCATGTAACTTTATGTCTAATCATTTGAAGAGCTGCCAGATTGTTTTCTGAAGTGGCTAGACCTTTTCAGTTTCTCACCATTAATGCTAAGGCTCACAATGTCTCTACATCCTTATAAATCGGTTGGTGTTATTTGTATTCTAGGCACTCTGGTCAGTAGGTAGTTGGATGCCATTTAGCTTTTTATTTACATTTCCCTAAACACTAGTGATGTTAAAAACCTCTTCATGTGATTATTGGACATTTGGATAAGTTCTGTACAGAAAATTTATATTTAGATAATTTGTTCAACTTTTATTTGTTTTTTAAATTATTGACCTGTAACAATGAAATATAATCTTTAGATATTTTCACTATAAGTCCCTTATCAGATATATGATTGCAGTCTCCCATGCTTGTAGGTTGTGTTTTCACCTTCATGATGGTGTTAAGTATTACATTTTTACATTTTGATAAAATCCAATTTATCTATTTTTCTTTCATTGCAGTTGCTTTTGTCATCACATCTAAGATTCCTTTGCTAAAACGAGTCAGGAACACTTACCCCATGAGTGTTATAATTTTTGCTCTTACATGTAAGTTCTTGACTTATTTTTATTTAATGTTTGTAAATATAACAAAGTAAGGATCCAGCTTTTTTTTTTTTTTCTTGCAGTACTGGGACAGAGACTTCACACTAAACTACATCCTCAGCCCTTTTTACTTTTTATTTTGATACAGGGTCTTCCTAGGTCATTACATTGCACAGGCTGGGCTCAAACTTGTGATCCTCCAGCCTCAGTCTCCCAGAGCACTGGGATTATAGGTGCAAGGCACAATATCTAGGTCTAACTTTGGTCTTTTAAGTGAGACTACCCGGGTATACAAGCACCATTTATAGAAAGACTACTATTTATACCACTGAATGGTCTTCACCAAAATTCATTTGATTATAAATGTCTAGGTCTATTTCTAAACAGTCAAATCTATTCCATGGCTTACTATATTCTTCTATCCATATCATATCTGTTTTAATTATCATTGCTTTGTAGGAAGTTTTGAAGTAGCAAAGAATATCTTACTTCATTTTTCTTCTAAGATAATTTTAGAGATGATCACTTTTTAAATTTCCTGCTATCATGTTAATTTTTCTTCATAAGAGTGAAATTCCAGTGATATGCTCATTATTAAATTTCAGTGTACACGGGAACTAGCAGATAGAATCAACAACTGGGATCTCATCTTATTAAAAAGCTTCCGTACTTCAAAAGAAACCATCAGCAGAACTAAGAGACACTCTACAATGTGGGAAAAAAATTTTACCAGCTGTTCCTCAGACAAAGGACTATTATCAAGGATATATAAAGAACTCAAAACAATCAGTGCCCCCAAATATAAAGACCCGATTCAAAAATGGGCATCCGAAATGAACAGACATTTCTCAGACAAAGAAGTAAAAGCAGCAAGAAAATATTTGAAAAAATGTTCCACTTCACTGGTCATTCAAGAGATGCAGATGAAAACAACACTGAGATTCCACCTCACCCCTCAAACAATGGCTGCTATCAAGAAATCACACAATAACAAATGTTGGCGGGGTTGTGGGGAGAAAGGAACCCTTCTCCATTGTTGGTGGGAGTGCAGACTGGTGCAACCACTATGGAAATCAATATGAAGATACCTCAAAGAGCTTGGACTAGAGGTTCCATTTGACCCAGCCATCCCTCTGCTGGGTATTTCTCATTGAGTTTATTGGTACATTTTAGGTATGCAGTACAGTTACATTCATTATTGGGATCCTGTACCTTTACATGACAGGTCTTGGTTCTCATTTTTTCCCCTTGTCCCTGCCCTCCCTTCACCCCTTCCACCCCTCCCCATTTACAAATACTTTATTTCCATTTTTTCATTTTCTCATTTTTTTTCTTTTCCCTTATTACCTTTCCCCTACCCTTCCCACTTCCCCTACACTTTTAGCCCTTTTTTTCCTATTTCACATCCGCCTGCCTTGTATAATAATATTTTAAAGTTGTTAATATGTAACTGTACTGTATCCCTAAAATGTACCAATAAACTCAATTAAAGCTGAAAAAAAATCTAAGTGCACAAAAGTTTAATCTATGGAGCTCTTTTTTCTTTCTCAGGTTTAGCATTTCTGATTGCAGACAAAAAAACACCAGCTTCAGTAAGCACCTTTTAATTTATTTGCTTCTAAGGTGATTGCCTCTAGAATAGGGCTACAACTGTACTGTATCCCTAAAATGTACCAATAAACTCAATTAAAGCTGAAAAAAAATCTAAGTGCACAAAAGTTTAATCTATGGAGCTCTTTTTTCTTTCTCAGGTTTAGCATTTCTGATTGCAGACAAAAAAACACCAGCTTCAGTAAGCACCTTTTAATTTATTTGCTTCTAAGGTGATTGCCTCTAGAATAGGGCTACTGTGGAACAAGAACATAGGGTTTAAGCCTGCTTCTAGATAAAAGAGGGTACGCCATAGATGCTGCTACTGGAGTTTCACCACAGTACCCAAAGGGCTTATGAGAAGCCAAGCATTTTATAAAATGAAATAAAAATGAAACCATATATACAATTGGGAATCTTCTTGCTGGCTATCTTAATTATATATTTTTAGAGTTTCCTTATTGAGAAATGTTTTCCTTTTCCTCACATTCAATATAGGAAGTAAATTTTTGGCTTTTTACTTTTGACTTTATGATACTCTTTTACTGTATTTCCTGAATGCTCTGTATGTTAACATATTTATTCACCTATGTATCTAAGATTTCAGATTTCTAATTTATGAAGATGAAATATTTTCTCTGTATAGCATCAAATGGTTACCCTGGATAATTTGTATATGTTGCTATGAACAATGAGCATACAAAGCTTCCTTGTAAGAAAATGCTTATAATTATAAGAAAATGATTATGTATGTGTTATTTTGTCTTTAAAATAGAATAAAATGTAATTTACTGATTAAAGTAAGAACGGGAGCTTGAGCTGGAATTCTGTTTTAATGAAAAACCATGCATTTTTCAAGATGAAAGTATGTGCTACTCGGGATACTAGAATATCAAATGCATAATTGTGTCTAGATTCTGCACCTTGTTGTGCTGCTAAAAACCTATGTGATGACCAACAGTCCCTCCACTTTCTGAGCCATAATTTATTATCTGGAAGCAGAACTACAAAGGAAGAATGGATGAACTCCTAGCATCCCTCCTAGTTTTTTTTTTGTTTTTCAGCTTTAACTGAGTTTATTGGTACATTTTAGGGATACAGTACAGTTACATTCATTGTTGGGATCTTGTACCTCTACATCACAAGTCTTGATTCTCATTTTTCCCCTTACCTCTGCCCTCCCTTCACCCCCTCCTTCCCTCCCCATCTAAAAACACTTCATTTTCATCTTTTCATTCTCTCATATTTTTTTCTTTTCCCTTTTTACTCTTCCCCTACCCATTCCACCTTCTCTACACCTTTAGCTCCTTTGTTCCCATTTCTAAATGTCAGTAATCTTATTAGAATCTTATGCATTGTTGCATATTATTCACACCAGGGAAATTATTCGGTATTTACACATGTGTGACTTATTTATTTCACTTAGGAGTATATCTTCAATACATATCCATTTTCCTATGAATGAATCTATTTTCTCGTTCTTTATGGCTGAGTAATATTCCATTTTATAGAAAAACCACATCTTCTTTATCCAGTTTCCAACGGATGGGCAAATGGGCTGTTTCCAAGATTTAGCTATTACAAACTGTGCCGCTATAAACATGGGTGCACATACTTCTCTGTGATATGATTCTTTTAGTTCTCTTGGAAAGATACCCAGCAGAGGGATGGCTGGGTCAAATGGAATCTCCAGTCCAAGCTCTTTGAGGTATCTCCATATTGATTTCCATAGTGGTTGCACCAGTCTGCACTCCCACCA